GGAGGGATGTTGAGGGGATGAGGAAGAGCAAATTGGATTCAACCAGGCCCAGCGTCGATGACAGGGGAGAGGGGTGGGAGTAGCCCAAAACTTCATTGAAAAGTGGCTTACGCTGGAGGCACAACTAACTCCATCCCTAACTGAAGAATGATCGCATTCTACAAAGACTTATGAATTCAAAGCCATCAGGGGCCCGTATTCGCAAAGAAGAGTACTTCTTCCGAGTACCGCTTTCCGCAGCCGCCTTACTTTTTCCTGCTTTTAAGAATGGACAGTGACTGTTTAGGTGTTCGTTAAAACGATGATTATATGTGTGGTACTGTGTAATCTACACGGTCTCGTGTTCCTACCGGCGATCCTGATCATGCTCGACTCGATTCGATGGGCTCTACGGCCAAAAGGTATTGTATTACTTGTAACATTTTATGATAGCAGTAAACAAAAAAATCAATACGCAAGAGTAAGCCGAAAAAATGCACAACCCACTTTCACACGCAAATATTTTTCTGGTTGTATTATGTAACACATCTTACCACAACGTGAGCTCAAGCTCCCACACTTTAGAAGTATGCGTCATTATTGCCGTCGTTACTACCACTTGTCGCTTATGATGGCCTATTTCAGGAGCTGCAGCTCAGGCTAAAATCGCACAGCAAAATGCTTCACGGACGAAGCAAAAGCAGAATTCCAGGGTAAGTCTTGTTTTCTGCTTATTTATTTCGTTTGGTTTTTCCCTGTTACAGTTGCTGTGTTCCCCAGAACGCGATCTTAATATCATCGCAGGGGCTAATTTTATGACCCACCCCACCAGGGGCTTTCGGTACGCTTCCCATTACCACCATCAACCTTGGTGGGTCCCTCATACAACCTCCACCCCACCGGCGACCACCATCCTTACCATCACAAGGCTGATTCTGTAATATTTGATTTTGGGACCAGTAGACACACTTCAATTCCGTTCCCCCCCCCTTATTTTTCTTCCATCACTACAATGGAATGGGCGAGTGAGCGGCAAAAGGGAGGGGGAGGGGGAGGATGAAGAGAGGGAGGGAGTAGTAGACTACCGAAACAGACAGCGAGTGGTGTAATTTCATCAGACTTCACGCTCTTTCTCTGAAGTTTTTGTCAGGAACGTTGAAGTCGTCTAAAACCCGTCAAAACGGTCCCCTCTCCACATGCATGACCCCTCTAAACTCCCACAAATACGGCCTCCTTCGAGCTTACCTAACGTTCGTCCACTCAGGATACGAGATCTTCCAGAAAAAACGGGAACACCGTGTCACCAAGGGTGCACCCAGGGTCAACCGTGCGTTCACACTATTCGAACGAGGGGTCGCATTTGTGGTTGGTTTTGGTGAGGGGGGTCGCATTCAGGGGTTTGTGGGATTAGTAATTTGTTGAGTAAGTGAGGATTTAGATTTGGTTTCTTGAAGGATATTTGTGGATGTGATTGGCGCACAGCGTGAGGTAGGATAGGTGGGAAATTTGAATTAGAAACAACCATGATGGCGAGGGTGACGGTCGGAGAAGGGGGAGGGGAATTGTATAGGGAGAGCCTCCTGAATCTGATGGTGGTGATGGGGGGTTTCGCATCGAGACCCCCTTAAAGAGGGGGGTCGCGAAATTTCTG